TGAATGACAGAATTTTCATTTTTGGGTGAACTAACCCTTTAAGGATTTAAAGTTTTAGAGTTCTTCAAGGATTTCAGTAGATATTTTCCTGATATTGTCTCCTTTTTGTAAAAGATCAAGGAGAATTTGATTCCTCATGATGGCCACTTTAACACATGCTCGTTATTACTGCATTAGGTTATCATGTGTGGTCCGAGATCTCAGAATCCCGAAGACCTGGTTGCCCACCTGAGTTCCTGCATATTAAAGTCCAAAAAGAAGATCCTGTCTTTGGCTCTAACTCTTCGCAACAGGTCCTGCTCCAGTTCCAGAGAGCAGAGTGGGATCTGAGCACAGGCAAAAGTCCCAACAATCCTCGCACACAGGTGTGTATGAAGACATAATAGATTGTATGGGATTTAGAATGGATCTGCTGAGTTTTTGATTTACGCATAATTCATTTCAGGTGAATCACGTGACAGCATGGATAGATGGCAGCTCCATCTATGGATCGTCCAGCTCATGGTGTGATGCCTTGAGAGTGTTTTCCAGAGGACTGCTGGCATCAGGCTCCTCACAGGACATGCCCCGGCGCAGCAGCAGTGGTTACCTCATGTGGAGCGCACCGGACCCCAGCACCGACCCCAGCACCGACCCCGGCTCACAGGAGCTCTATGGTAACATATGGAGCTGCTACTTTAAGTTGTAGTACATTTCTTTATTTATGACCACATGGGCAGTAGTCACATGGCTATTCAAGAAATTTTTGTCTGGTAGGACTTGGAATATTTTGCATTCATACTTTCTTGCAACATCCCTTACAAAATTATACCATGGTATCCATAGAAGTACTATAGTAACTGCAATTATTTAACTGCTATAAAATCATAAATTAATATAAGACCCTCTGCAAACACTGAGAAGCTTTCAGAATTTTTGTCATTCATTCATTTGTTTGTTTCTTTGTTGGTTTTTTTTGTTTATGGATAAATAAGTACTTTTTTATTTTCTTAATGGATAACTATTTTATTAGTTTGTTTGTCTTGTTTACATTTATTTAGTTTTGGACAAATACATAATACATGTATTATATGCATAAACAAATAAATAGACTTATTTATAAATAATAGTTTGGTTTTATAATAATAATAATAATATTTATTTATTTATGGATGAATATATAAATAATACATAAATGGGAAAAATAAACACATACTAATAAATAAACAAATAAATTAATTATTAATAAATTTAATGAATGAATGAATTAAATAATAATAATAATAATAATAATAGTAATAAATAAATTATAAAAAATAAAAAATCATTATAAAAATAATGAATAAATAAATGTTGGAATAATTAAATAAATACTCGAGTGGTATTGTTGCAACTGTGACTATAGTAATTATAATATTTTAG